GACCTACGTCAAAAGTAATCCCTGTGAAATTTCAGAATCCCAGTCTTCTGAGATAAAAACTGGTCATTGCAAAGAAACTGGAATCAGAATGACATTAAGCTTATCAATAAAAACCTTTGATAATAAAAGTCAGTGAAAAAATGTCTCCAAATTCTGTAGGAAAATGATTTTCAATCTAGTTATATACTCAGACTATCAATTAAGTGTGAGGGTAGAATAAAAACATTTTCAAGTGTGTAAGGATTCTAAAAATTGACCTCCCATGCATCTTTCCACAGGAAGCTAGTGGAGGAGATATTCCATCAAAACAAAGGAACAAACCCAGAGAAAGGAAGGCAATGGGATCCAAGAAACAGGTGCTCTAAGACAGAGAGGCTAAAGAGAGTTCCAGGATAGCAGGGACTACCAATTTTCATTCTAAGTCTTTTGGAACTATTTGCCTATATTACTTTGGTTAAAAAATAAAGTTTAATTAAGAAGAAAAAACATGGTTGAAACACTCAATAGTAAGTTCCAGTTGCCAGATAAAAAAGAGAGGAGATGAAGGGAGGAGAATCCTGGAGAATAGAGATGAGCATGGAAACTGTACTCTAGAGCAGAACTAGATCTGAGAGCAAAGGCAGAAACATGAATGAATGGTGGTGTGCAGATATGTACACATGCACACCAAGGAGAAGGAGCTCTGAATCTTTTCTTTTGTGAGATTGTTTCACTCAGGATGTATGCATCCTTCGGAGATGATGGTGTGGTAGATGGTTTCAGGACTTTCCAGCTCTGATCACTGCACTCCAAGGTGCAATCTGGAGGGAAGGAGTTTGTTGGTACCAGCCTGTGTCTCAGAAAAGACAAGGCCTGGTGAGGAGTGACAGCGAATGGGGTAACTAGTCATTCGAAAGTGTTGACAAAGTCACTCAAGTTTAAGCTTCCACCCACCTCTCCTCCCTCAGCACTACAACATCCTTCCTCTCTCTACTTGCCAGTTTGACCTAAAGACAACGTATGCGAGGATGGTCCCTGTTCAATTCCACTCCGGGAAACTTGGAGAAAGTTCCCACCCCTACCACTTTGAGGAAGTGTGAGCATCAGTCTGTCTGAGTGCTTTGAGGAAGAGAGTGTAAGGCAATTGATCTTAATTGAGTCCTTACTATGTGCTAGGCATGTCATGTATATTTTCTAATCCAAGTTACCCACTGCCTTAGGTGCATTTAACTACATTTCTCTACATATTATCTACATTTCTCAGATGAGGAAATTGGTTGCAAAGCTAATAAGAGATTGAAATGAGACTGCACTGTGCTTGACTTCAAAGCTCCCATATTGGGAAATGAATGTAGAAAAAGCACAGGGACAAACATAAGTCAGGGAAAGAAATGGCTTATGGTTTGGTAATAACAGTATCCTAATTACTTATGACTGAAGTTGTTTTCGCTCCAGACTCATCTGCTCCTTTTCAGGTACCTAAGACCTTCTGCCTCTCTCCCTGCTGCCCTTGTCTGTCTAAAATTCAATGGATTTTGCCATTTTAAGAATAGATGTGTGAGCATCCTCAAGACAGAGGGGGATGTGTCCAGATTTTGTCAGCACTGGCTTCTACAGCTGACTGTTCTGTCCCTCCCAGGGGCCAGAGCCTGGCTTGTCAGAGCCTAGTTCAATCTTCTGCCCTCCTTCCCTGTTGTCAATAGAGTTCCTGATGGGTGTGGCCGAACTGGTCATTCATAGCCCTTGGGCTCTTTGGGTCGAGTAATTTGCTCCCTTAGAGTTGGGGCGAAGAAACAGAGCATATGGGTATGTTATTCAAGAGACCCCAAGTTGGGGAACAGAGGCCAAAAGGACAGGTGGAAAACAGGTGCCACCAAAGACTGTATTTACTCACATTGCTTTCCCATTGGATACCACTACCATTTACTAACAGCCACCATAATTCAGTATTTATTATGAGCTTGGTACTTTATCTCACTTAATTCTTCTTAGCTCCATTTTACAGATGAGCAAGTCGAGGCTAGAGAGACTAAGAAACATGACTAAGCTCACCTAGTTAGTAAGCATGAAGTTGAGATATGCACTTCTAATCCTGTTCTGACCCCTGTTTTATCTATCTTTAACTTTTCCAGTTCTAGACCTGAGTTCCTTTTTAGAAACCCCCAACAAAAATGGGTTGCAATTTGAGAATATGAAAGTGAAATATTTTTCAAGATTACCAAAATAATACATAAGAAATAAATTCTCACACGTTAGCATTTCCAACAAAAGGAATTTCACAATTGGGAAGGGATTACAATAATTCTATTCATGTGTGATAATTTTTTGCCAATTATAGATAATTAGTATAATTGAAATATCTATTATGTGTATCATTAATATGAGTAAAATTTTTTTTAAAGTTTTATGTGATTATAACATGAAACACTGATCAATCTCTGACTGCATGGGGCTCATCTTAACCTAAAACAAATGAAAGAGGATGTTATTCCCCACTAACACTGGACCACAGTCTACCCCTGAGTTTTCCAGTGCTCATATCTACTTTGAAAAGCGTCCTCAAAAATTATTGTTACCAACACTTGTAACGCTCTCTTTTGCCTCTCCCTTTTTTCCGAGACATCCCTTTGGCTGATTAACCTCACTCTTTCTTCAGCTTCTGTAAGAGAACACGAACACCTGGTATTTCTCTATCCATAGACATTCCCCTGAAAATTAAACCAAAAAGGAACAGAAAGAAGAAGCTATTAAGCCTCCACTGCCTGTTTTATTTTTTAAAGGCTGCCCCTAGCTTCTGTGAAGTTAGGTACTACCAGCTTGGGTGAGAAGTTCCTTCATTAGTCAAAATTGAAAGAAATGTATAAAAGAGGGTTTTTAAACTGGGTCCCCTGGAGTCCTTGGGGGCATACAAGATGATCTCTCAGAGGACCTAAGAGATATGGGCTCTGGGTACAGGTAGTTCTGCTTTTATATTGGGTACCCTGTTAGGTTTTGTGGGGATGAAAATGTGCTACAACAAAAAGTTTGAAAGCCACTGTATACTATATCAAAGCCCTTCCCAGAACTTTGGAATAGAACCGTCTTCCTAACTCTAAAGCAAGGGTACTAGCCCTCACCAGCAACCGACATTCCAGTGAGAAGTAATTAGAAAATGACCTTGCAAAATGAGGGGGCAAGGAAAGTGGCATGTAAATGGATGACAACAACAGGACAATGATTATGATAATGGAAATGTGTGCGGGCTGTGATTCCATCTGACTGCGTCCTCCTGAATGCCTAAAGCTGAGGTCGGCCATTGCTACGGAGGGACTCTGGCTGTCAAACCGGGTCAGGCTTGTACCAAAGTGAAAGGTATGAGAATCTGGTAGATCAGTAGCAACTGTCATTAAATACTTGCTTTTTCTTCAAAAATCAACGCTTTCCCCTTCTTTCATAACTTAATGCCTACTTGCTGACTAGACCCTTTGAGATTCACACTGTGTGCATTAAAAATCATCAGCTAATACTACAATCTGTACTTCTCATATTGTATTATTAATGTTTCCTTTTCACGACATTATGGATATTGGAGTCTTATCTCATCTTCTAAACTCTTAAAAACAAGGCTCTAGTTTCATTCATCTCTGTACCCCTGCCTGCGAGTAGCTAACATAGTACCTTGCTTACGAAGAAAGCACTCAATAAATATTTTTGAATGAAGGGTTTCCTGCCCTATCACCGAGAAATTAGTCTGCTGCTCAATATGGCACTCCACTGCCCATCAAAACAGACACGCGTGAATTTAAAATACTCTTAATTCAAATGAGTTTAATTTTCTTTTCTGTTCTTTCCTTCTGTCCAGAACAACCAAATAAAACCTCAGACAGGTGGGCTCAGCTTTCTGGGTGTGCAGGAAAATATAAGCCTCTGTTATGCTAATTTTCCCTTCACTTAGGTCATCAAAGAAGAGTTGTAGAAAAAATTCAAACTGTTGTGACAAATGGGCTCTTAAGTGAGCTGACTACCCTATCTGCCCAGGTATTCCTCACTCTCTGCTCCAGGAATCTTCAACTAATCTAAAAACTCAGGCAGCCAGGAAGTCGCCCGGTGGCTGATGTGTCATCCTTCCAGGTATTTCTTTCTAGCTTACTCTTGTTCTGATATAGGTTTGCTATGAAGGATGATGACGACAACAATGACGGCAATAGAGACAATAATGATGACGGCAGTAAAATCCACTGAATACTATCCGGCAGGCACTGGGATGAACCCCTTAATGCCCATTATCTCGTTTAAACCGCGCAACTGCCTTACGAGGCAGGACTATTACCACTTCCATTTAACACGTGATCAGACCACTCATGACCCAGCAAGGCAGAGTCCCTCGACCAAGGACTCTGGGCTTCTATCGCCACGGTGGGACTTACCTAGGAAGCACTGAGTTAGGTGGCCTGGATTTTGCAGGGGATGCGACTTTAGGTTCCAGCCCAGAGCTCCCTGAAGATCCTGGCAGAGAGTCCTGCACCAACCCCGACTGGTTCGGAAGTACTTCCCTTGCCGAAGTCAGGAGATGCTCTTTATCTTTAACTTCTTTTTCCCGGGACTTGGCTTTGTGTTCCGCCAGGAGGAGGTCAAATTGCTTTTTCCTACCCGGGACTGCCCTTCGATGGCTCAGCGAATGTGTCTAAGGAGAAGAGAGATGAAAAGCACAGCCTCTTTGATCAGCACATAAACCTGCTTCCCCAGGCCCTCCATCTCAGAAACAGCAATTCATGAGAATTTAGAGGTGCTTGAAAAGTGAACTTCAAGGCAACGGCTCCTGTCCTGTGGCTGGGAAGAGGCAGAGACCACACAAATGCAACCATGCCCTACTCTCTTGGCGTTAAGAAGCCAAAGCTGCCTCCAAAAAGGGCATAAGATGATGAGCTTCAGTGCAGAACCCAGGAAAACCTCTCTGAGGAAAGGCCACCGTGAAGGAGTGCTAGAGTTAATCCAGGTGCAGGTGGTAGGTTCACTTTGGCCCAGACACACGGAGCCACCAAGCAGAGAGGGCCACCGCCTCGATCCCAAGAAGCACTAGCAGTTCAGTATGAAATATGTGGCTGGGGGCTACCCAGTGGCGGCAGCCTGGGGTCAGCTGTCCGCCTGGCCACCCCGGCGTGGCCGGATCAGGGGCGCGGCAGACCGTCCTCCCGTCCAGGGCTGCCGTTCAGGGCGCTGCTGCCGCCGCCGCCGCTCCTGCATACATTAAAACGTAGCAGGGTTTAGAACCGCCTGTGAGTGCCTATAAATACAATTTACTGTCTGGCCTCACAAGTAACAGGGGAAGGGGGTCAGCTGTCCGCCTGGCCACCCCGGCGTGGCCGGATCAGGGGCGCGGCAGACCGTCCTCCCGTCCAGGGCTGCCGTTCAGGGCGCTGCTGCCGCCGCCGCCGCTCCTGCATACATTAAAACGTAGCAGGGTTTAGAACCGCCTGTGAGTGCCTATAAATACAATTTACTGTCTGGCCTCACAAGTAACAGGGGAAGCCTTTTTTTTTTTTTTTTTCTTCTTAAAAAGCCAGCCAGCTTGAGGCAGGCACTCTGCTACCATGGAAGAGAAGAAAGCATTTCCCTTACAAAGAACAGCTGGGGGTCATGTCGAGGTTCCACACCCTGCCGTGTGCAGAGAGTGGCATGCAAACATTTTGACAAAGGCCCCAGCGAGAGCAGGAAGTATTTTTTATGGAAAGAGAAATACCTTGCAGGTGAGGGATCTTGTGCAAGGTTTCTTTGTCTCGGGATCCAATACTCCACAGTGTTTATTTGGGTCAAATTCTCTCTCTGGTTTAAGAAACAAACAAAAAATATAAGAAAAAAGGAGACTAAATAGGATTTGGCATTAAGACTACATTAAAAAAAAACGCACATTTGCACCAACAAGTGAGACATTGTCAGGCAATCTGTTTTTTTTTTTTTCTCTTTTTCTTTTTCCAACCAACTGCTAAAATGCTTCGAGAACCACTCAGGGGAAAATTGTGCACCCTCTGAACCAGAGTTCCAAAGTCCAGCTTCGGTAAGGATGCGGAATGTAGCGCAGGGCGCGGGGAGTGGGGTGGGGCGCGGTGCGCACTGGGAGGGAAGCACCATGCTGCTCTCACACTTTATTTCACTTGAAATGGTTTTTCAGATACTTGGCCCTTTGGGCATAGTTGGCTGCGGACCAGGGAGAGCCACCTGAGGCCCAAGGGTCACTTTTTCTTGGGTGGCTTCAAGAGTATACACCCTCCCCCACCCCCATCCTGCCTTCCTGTTCATTTTAGCCATTTAAGTAGGAGACTATTCCTTGACATGTCAGTGTGACCTGCTTCTCTCCTGCTTTGCAAAGTGCTCAGCACAAGGCTTTCCAGACAGCTTAGTTGACCAGAAAATTTGTTTACCTGATTCAGGAACGTTTTGGTAGTGTCATAGGCAGGGGCAGGGATAAGTCTGAGTATGTGCCTTACGTGGGTCTAAACTTGAAGGTGCAGAGGGCGGAGCCTGCTAGTCTCACCGCTTTGGCCCGCTCTGCCCCAGTACAGGGCCTGTTACTCCAAGTGAGAATGAGCCAGGGCAAGCTAAACCCTTGAGATGGCTGCAGAGAGGCCAGGCTTTCCCCAGTGTGTGCCTTCCCACTGGACTGTTGAGTTTACTTGTAAGGAACTTGTTCTCTTTGGGCCCATTTTGGATCCTTCGTCCCCCCTGGATTACAAAAATGTTCTCCTCCTTCAGAAAATGAGGGGCTGTGAAGCAAATCTCTTAAGGACCCTTTAGGCTTTAAAGTTCCACCCCTCAGATGGCCTGTGCTGTTTCTGAAAGGCACCCCA